CCCGCCCTCTCCCTGTGGGCGTGCCCCGTCCCCTCCCGGGCCGCTCTGTCCCTCGTGGGCCTCCCCTTCTCTCATGAAGTGTCGTGCCCCCTCCAGCTTGTCCTTTCAGTCCTGGGTGTCCTGAGTCCTCCCATACACAGGCCCTCTCTCCCTCCCTCCCAGACTGCTGAGCCTTCCTGGGCAGCTCCTGGGAACGGCACCCGCAGCCAGTGCTCTGTGGACCCTAGAAAGGACTGTGATTTACGGGAGGACTGCCTTCCTGTCAGTGTGTAAATCCAACCTCCTTTCGAGTGAAGGGCAGGAACCTTTTCTTCTCGAGGTTCCTGCAGGGATGTGAAGGCACGCCTCTCATTTCAGAGGATTGGTTCTGAACACGTCCTTGCCACGTTTTCCTCCTGCCCCTGGTCACACAGGACCCGTCACCACAAACCTGCAGGGCTACGTGCTCCTGGGGCCTGCCCACTCTCTGTCTGGGCACTGATATAGGCCGCAGACCGCTGACAGAGAGGAAACGTCAAAACAGCAGAAAATCCGCCCCACACTTAGGGAACAGTGTGGTGCAGTGACTTAGAAGACCTCGTTTTGCTTGAGTTGTCGACATAACGCTTTGTGGATGGGTGGGGATGGGTGAGGCGCGGTTCCACGAGGGTGCCACATCGGCCAGTTTCTTGTTTATTAAATGGTATTTTGTAATCAGCATCTTGCAGGCCACCTAAAAGGCCCTTGGTCTTTGGAAGCTGATGGCAAACTTACATCATCGCTACGCTACAAGCAGCTGGGTCTGAGATGATGGGACAGAGACGGCACTTGTGACAAAGCGACAGCATCACTCTACACATGCTCAGCAGTATTCATGTTGTGGTTGGATGCTGGGGGCTTTTCCTAGGTGTCAGGGGCCATCCTGTGCAGCGTAGGTAGCATGTCGGGCCTCGGACCCACTAGAGATCGGTAGCACTCCACCCATCACTTGGCAACCCCAAATGTCTCCAGCCATTGGCAAATGTGCCCTGGCAAGCAGTGGAGAAGGCTGTCTCTGTGTCTAAAGGAAGGTCTCACCACCTGCCCCTCACTCAGCACCTTCCTCACTGGCTCTCTTCCCTATGCAGATCGTGGAAGGGGCTCTTCCCCATCCCCCCGTCTGGGTACAAAATGCCAAGGACAGACATTGGCCAACACCAGGCCAGTCACCCGCTCATGCGGGCACACAACAGTCTCAAGATGCTGTGCTGACACTGTGGTCCTCTAGGGGGCACAGTGACAGCTGTTTCTGAAGAAAACCCTGGCTCCCCTTTTCTTTGACGCTGAAAGTTGTTCAAAAGGACCAGGAGGACAGTTCTTGGTTGGCACAGGCTTACATGTATTCACTTGACACACAACAGCAGGTGTCCCACAGCTGGCCTCATACCAAGTGCTCTCCGCGCACTCCCTTGTTCTATCCTCATGAAACAGAGGAAGACGTTACTATCGCCTTGCAGACACAGAATGACTTGGGTTAAGGAAATCTCTAGGCACATGTCAACACTAAACACACAACAAACACAGCCCAGCCCCTCTCCCTCCAGGAAGCCTGGCTCCCAAGCCCCCCAACCTCATCATCTGTCTCACTGAAAAGCAAGCCCACCTTCCACTGCGTCACCCCCAGCTGTCACCCAACTTGGATTCAGCCCGGCTCTGCCACCAAACCCTTAACCTCTCTGAGTCTCTCTCTTGTTTTCATTTGTAAAACTGGGAACATATCCCTTTCCATAGGTATGTTGCTGGGAATGGCGAGGTTTATATGCCAAACTCTAGCCACAGATGTTTAACGAGTGACAACCTTGATGGTTATGTGTATTGTTATCACTTATGACAAACAGGAGTGACTATCATGGGTTCAAGGCATCCTGCAGACTGTAGGATGCAGAGATTTGCCAGGCTGAAAT